TAAAATTTAAATTTAAAATTTTTAATATAAACACTTAAATTCTAATGACCCTTCAACAGAATACCTCATATGGTTCCAACTTCCTTGATACAAATGTTTCAAAAAAAATTTAATCCAAACGACACTTGTCCACAAAAATGGTTTGGATGAAGCTCAAGCGGGCTCAGACTGTCAGACAATCTCCATTTTGGGATTTGATTGGAATTAACTCGGGCCTAATAAATCCTAATCCGAGGCGTAAAATTGGACCCCAAAAAAATTAAGAATTTTAGTTTAAGGCCCAATTAAACAATTTTGACATATAAAGCTCTTCCAAATTTCCAGCCCCCTGTTTCTCTGAAGCTGCCAAGGAGTAACAATGGATGGATTTCGTCTGGGTTGAAGGCAGCAGGCGTCGACGGAAACCGCGTATGTACGTCACAGGACAAATCAAACCACGCCACGTGTACAATATTGGAAACTCCGTGTAATAATTACGAAACCCCGACCGACGCCTACGATTCTCTCAGTCTCTGTTTCTTCCTGCCCATGGTTTGAGCTTTGATCTCAACGACGATAGATTTGAAACCGTTTGCCAAGACCGCCCATCTTTTTCTACCATTTCCCTTCGTGATCTAGATTTTCTGCATCTAAATTTACCCTTTTAAATAACGTCGACCTCTTTAGACCTCTTCTTTCAATTCATCTTTAGACTTCAGTTATTGATTTTCTCTGTAGTAACCAGTTTTTAAAGCTTCAATCTTTCTCGTTTTTGTTCGTTTTCTTGGAAGCTAAACAGGGGTTTAAGGCATTTGGTAATCTGGGGTTTGTTGTTTTCTTGAAATCTGCTAAATGTTGGAGCTGAAAGGGGAGAAGACCCAGAAGGGTCAGGGGAAGCGATGGAGATGGATCGTGTGTGTTCTCGTCACAATCGTTCTGGCAATAGCAATGGCTTCGGCTTCCGCACCCAAGATCTCTCTCTTTGGAAAAACGAACAAGTCCTGTCATTGTTCACAGGTTTCGCCTTTTCTCTTTACTCTTTAAGGCTCTATTTTGGGTATTAAGAAACCAGAGGAAAATGTAAGAAATAATTAAGAAAAACGTTGATGATTGTTTCGTTTTGAATTAATTGGCGCCAAAATAACTACCCAATTTTGGAATTTTGTGTATACCTGAGAGCATGGCCTGTAAATTATAAACTTTTCAGATGTTTTTGAATGGACTCATTGAAATTGTTGTTCTTTTGACCTTTTTCCGTGCCTACATTGGATGGAGAAAAGATTTTGATTTTATTTTTTCCCCTTTTAAGTTCATTTGGCTATTTTTGTTCTCTTAATGATGCATCTTTCCTTGAAAATATGCAGGACAAGCACAGGTTTAGTGGGATGGTGGAAGATTGTTGTTGTGATTATGAGACTGTAGACCATCTTAATGAGGAATTATTACATCCGGTTCTCCATGAACTCGTTAAAACCCCATTTTTCCGGTACTTCAAGGTTAGCCTTTTCCAAATTTATAAGCTTCGAATTAATTTTTATCTGTTTGTTTCAAGGGATAAGCTTTGCACAAAGTAGACTTGGGAAAGCCTTATTCTTGCTGGTGGTAATTTCTTATTGTGTTGTTCTCTATGAAGGATGGAGTCAAATCTTGTTTAACTGACTTATTACCATTGGCATGTTTTAACAGGCTAGTTAATTCTGAATGGAATGTGGTTTGTGATTGATGGATAAAGCATCATAACCATATTGAGAGTTTTTTCTTTTTTCCTGTAATGATCTTCTGTACAAATATCTACTTGTCTTTGAAAATTTCTTTAGTTATGTTAAACTGCGTTGTGGTAGTTTTAGTATTCAAATATATCATAAAAATTAATCTTGTATGGTGGTGAACTACAAACTTGATATGTTTATAGTCAAGTTATCAGTGATTATAAAGTCAAGTTAATTCATTTTGTTGCAGGTTAAGTTGTGGTGTGACTGCCCTTTCTGGCCTGATGATGGTATGTGCCGTTTGCGGGATTGCAGTGTTTGTGAATGCCCTGAAAATGAATTCCCTGAGTCATTTAAGAATCCCTTCCATCGTGGGCTGCCATTGGATGATGTTGTGTGTCAAGAAGGAAAGCCTCAGGCTGCTGTTGACCGCACCCTAGACAATAAAGTTTTTAGAGGATGGACAGAAACAGACAATCCCTGGACATATGATGATGAGACAGATAATGGTTTGTCCGATCTTGCTCCTGCAAAGCAATTACATTTGTGGTTTTTTTTATTCAATTATTTTTCTGAATTTTATGCTATTGAACCTGCTTAAATCATTGACTTCAGCATCACTGTTAATTGTTTATTGAGGTCTTGGTCATGGCAGATATGCTAACACTTGCAGCAAGATTGTTTTAGTTCATAATTTATCAGTTTTGTATTTATAAGTTACTGATCTTTATGTTTACGGGTTACTAGAAGCTAATTTTCCAAAGCCTGATGTAGCAAGTTGTTATGGATTTTATTTGCAGCTGAAATGACGTATGTAAATCTTCAATTGAACCCTGAACGTTTTACTGGCTATACTGGTCCATCAGCTAGAAGGATATGGGATGCTATTTACTTAGAGAATTGCCCCAAATGTAAGTTCTTAGCCATGCTTCTTATGGGTATGTCTTTCTGTGTACTTTTGTGAATGGAGGATGCCTATGCTGTTTTTGCATATTCAGAGGATCTCGATATCTAATCATCATAGTAAATTGTAAAGATGTTTTGAACATTTCTTTCTTTCTTTCTTTCTTTCTTTTTATTATTATTATTATTTTTTTATTTTTTGGTGCATGGGGCAACGTTTTATACATTTCTGTTTCAACCGTGTGCTGCATTTCCTTCATCTTTAACTTGTGTGTTGTATTTTTGCTACTCAAGAAAACCCTGAAGTGCCAATTCTGTTGAAGATCCCTGTTTCAATCTGTACAGATACTTCTCTTCTGAGTTTCTAATTTACCTATCTCTTTCTGGCTTGTTTGATGCTCACATATAATCCTGCTCACTTAATCATATGTGCTGCTGATGACACATGAATATATCTGTTTGAGATTTGATTATATCGCCTATCCTATGTGCCTCTTAGTTATTGTGCTTCCAATGCATCTTTTTTATTTAGGGCTCTTATAATTCAACTCTCCATATTGCTAAGATTAGATTGTGTTGGTTAATAATTTACCTAACTAATCCCCTGTTGATTTCGACCTATTGCGCAGATCCATCTGAAGATTTATGTCAAGAAGAAAAAATATTGTACAAATTGATTTCTGGTCTTCACTCCTCCATTTCTATCCATATAGCTTCTGATTATCTGCTTGATGAAGCTACAAACTTGGTATGTGCTTCATTTCTGCCCTCAAAAGCATATTTCCTTTGACAATTGTTTAGTTGAGAGTCTGTACCTGTTATTTTCTAAATCTTGTACTCTCTCTGTATGTGTTTCATTTTTGCCCTCAAACTACTGTATGTGATGAAGTCCAGATTTATGTTTCATTTGTGCCCTGAAATACTGTACTCGATGAAGTGCAGATTTATGACATGTGTGGACACAACAATATAATGAAAGATCTGACATGGTTTCTTTTTTATGATATTAGTGGGGCCACAATCTCACATTGATGTATGATCGGGTTTTAAGATATCCAGATCGTGTCAGAAACTTGTACTTCGCATTCCTCTTTGTTCTCCGAGCTGTGACAAAGGTGAGTATCAATATTTGATGAAATAACCAAATCAATTTGAGTGCTTTGGGAGGCTGGGCACTTAATGGCTTAAAAAGAAAAGGCCATTATGAACATATTTGTGTAAAGTGTTTTGTTTCATAGGTCTATAGTTTTGTTTTATTCACTTATCCTACATGCATTTCAGGCAACAAATTACTTAGAACAAGCTGAATATGATACTGGTAATCCCACTGAGGATCTCAAGACCAAGTCCTTGATAAAACAGCTACTCGATGATCCAAAATTGCAAGCTGCATGCCCACTCCCATTTGATGAAGCAAAATTGTGGAAAGGACAAAGTGGACCTGAACTGAAACAGAAAATACAAGGACAATTTAGAAATATCAGGTATTTCTCTAACTTCACTCAAGTAGTGCTTCTTGGAAATATTTTTTTATTTCCAAAAAGTATAGAATAATAAACAATATTTACTTAATATTTATTGTCTTCATTCTTTAATCTTGAGATGTGGTTCAATATTAAGCATTGTTTGTTGGTAATAGAAGACAACATGAAATCTGGACTCCTGCATTTTCTCTTGATATTTAATTCTCCTTATTTGTGGAGAACTTCTATGAGTACTCTCTCTCTTTGATTCTCCATCTTTCTTTTTGACATCTGAACATGGAACACTTATCAAAATGACATGATTATTGCTCTTGGCATTGCAGTGCTTTGATGGACTGTGTGGGTTGTGAGAAATGTAGACTATGGGGAAAGCTTCAGGTTCTTGGTCTTGGAACTGCATTGAAGATTCTCTTCTCTGATGATGGCCAGGAAAACTTGGCTCAGACGGTA